GGAGGGCAGGATGTCCTAAACGACAATGCCATTTATTAAGGGAATATTTTTGTGTGATGTGGACGGATGGAGATGGTGGAGGGGGGGGGGGGGCGTCTGGCAAGCTGTAAACATCTCCTTTATTCATACCCCGTAACAAAATTGCTCCTGTTCGCCGGTCCTTAACAAGACAAAAGGAAGAATGAAATTCAATTAGTACGTCATTATCACGACATAATTTGGCGACAGAAATTAAATTGGTATGAATAGAAGGTACAAAAAGGGTATTAGGTAGAGAAAGAGAGTGAAGGGTCATATGCCCAACTTGTGCTATCGCAAGACCTTTACCGTTCCCAATAACGAGAGAGTCAGTGCCAGTATAATCGGATGCCAAGGTAAGATTATTCAGGTTGTTGGTGACATGATTGGTTGCTCCAGAATCAAGTAGCCAACCATTGTGATTAGTGATAGCCGTGTTGACTTGGGGAGGATATGCCTGTTGTTCAAATCGGTGCCAACAATTGAGAGCAGAATGATTTGGTTTGCCACAAATTTGACACACAAGATTTGCCCCGAAATTACCATTCCCAGGGGTGTTTCGGGCTGTCGGATTGTTGGTGGGACCCCTAAAAGTATTCTGTCCACGTCGGTTGGAGTTATAAGAAGCAGGAGGTTGCTGATTTCTGGGCTGACTCCCAGTATTATTCCGGGCTGGATAATTCTGGCGACTGGACTGGAGTAACCTTGAGCAGATGGGCCAGGGCCCAATATTGAAGAGGTGTGAGACGGGCCTGGTCCTCTGCGAGCAGGGAAGGCGACCGACTCCCCACTTAGTACTTGACGAGGCGGATCTTCTGCGACTCTTGCGGTATTAGCGGTAACCACCGCTACAGACGGGTCGAGAGCTTCCTTCCGTTTCAGAGTTGCTTCGAACCCAATGAGGAGAGTATAGATGTTGCTGAAGCTGTTATCTCCACAGGTTCGAATAGAGTTGGTAAAGGAGTCAAACTCAGGCCGGAGTCCCTCCATGGCTTGAAGGACGAAGTCGTCGTCATCGACGGGGTGGCCAGCCTTAGCTAATTCGACGACGAGCGTACGGAGATGATGGAGATACTCGCCTACTGTTTTAGATCCCTGACGAGTGTGGCGGAAGACATCCTTCATATTCCTGATTTGAGCTGCTGAACGGGTCCCGTAAAGTTGCTCCAGAGTTTTCCACACCGCAGCAGAGGTACGTGCGGATCCGACCAAGGGTTTGCACGCCGAGCTCAGGGAGGAGACAAGAGCATGTCGGAGGAGACGGTCTTGCCGATTCCACCGGAGATGCTCTGCGGCGTTACTGGGAGGTGGCGGAACAGCACCATCACTGATGTACTGGTCGAGATGCGAGCCAACCAAGAGGTCAAGCACTTGGTCACGCCATATGAGGTAATTGGTCCCTTCAAGTTTTTCTGGGAAGTGGCTGGGGTTGAGGATGATTAAACCGTCTGGAGTGAGGGGGTTGACTGTGGTAGAGGGAGTTGTAGAAGAAACGGCAGGCTGCCCATCTAGGGGGTCGTCTGCCGCCATAGGAGAAGGAAGAGGGCTGGTTAGAGCTCGTGTGGCTCTGATACCATAACAGATAAGGAGAGAAACGGATGTTTTTAATATATTTTCAGTGTGTCTAAAACTGGTTTACAAGGCTGCAATTTATACACATCCTAATCATGTATATAAGGTAAATAATAATACACATTAAATGACAAGGATTCTAACGGCTAAATACAATATTCTGGAAATCAGCTCTTTCCTTCAATAACGCAGACAGGCCAAATATGAGGGTAATGAAGATACTTGCTTCCTAACTAAGATCTTTGTTGGGAGTGTCGAAACCTATCTTAAAGGTTTCGAATTTTGGAAGCCAACCTAGTCCCGTAGAGGCATTCAGGAGTCTGCAGAATGCAGCATAGGTACGTGTGAAACCAACCACAGGTTTACACACTGAGCTAAGGGAAGAAACAAGAGCATGATGGAGGAGGCGATCTCGACTATTCCATTGAAGTCAACCAGTAGTGTCGTTCTCAGATGGGGTGTAGTGTCTTCACTGATATACTGGACAAGATGTGAGCCAAATAATGAAATAGAAGGTCAAGCACCTGGTCACGGCATACCAGGTAATTCGGACTTTCTAGTTTTTCTAGGAACTATCTGGACTGAGTATGACTACGACATCTGGAGTCAAAGGGTTGTTGACCAAGGTAAAAAGACCTCTGGAAAAGAGAGCTATTTGACTGGCAGGTGGAATTTTTAGGTCCCCTTGCTGTTGGGGATCCTCTGAATGGACAGTTTAAGAATTGCCAATAGCCATGGCAGAAAGAGGCCGGTAAGAGCTCTAAGGCTTTGATACCATTATTCACTAGTTACAACTGCTGCTAATTATACAATCACTAAGCATTCCTATAAGGTAAGCGATTATAGTATCTTTACGGTTGTAACAGCTAATTACAATAATGCTATGGTTTAAGTATCATAAATTATTGATTTCCTTCTATAATGCGTAGTAGCTCATTGCCAGTCTTGTACAGTGCATTTGTATTATCATGTATTGCGATAGTTAATAGGGGCGGCGATGGGTTGGATGAGTGTGTGAAAGAATCCAAGTGGCCCCTTCTATTTCTCTCCAAATGGCGGCTGGACAAGGTGTAGCGTTAATGGACCACATTGTCACATAGGCAACTGTCCAGGAGGCAAGTAGTCGCATCATGCAAAGCTATACTTGAATATAATATATTATAAGTTACCATATTAATTCAAATAAAACAGTTCAATATCCATTTCCAATAAATTAAACTACCAAACTTTAGGAAAAGGCATTGAAGTGATTCATGTGACTTCCAGCAAAAAAAACCAAAGATATATCAAAGAATGAAAAGAAGGGAAGGTAGGAGCTAAGAAGGAAAAAGGAAAAAAGAGGGGGGGGGGGGGGGGGTTGAGAAAGAGAGAGGGCACATTCGGAGGGAAATAACAAGCTGCATCGCCCTTTGGCTTTAGGTTTTTCTTTATCAGGTTGGATTAGGCTATAAACATAGGAATATACGGGTCGGATTGCTAGGTCAAAATATATTTCGCAAAAAAACACTCCAGGTGTCACCATGAATGCCTTAGTAGACAACTAAGCAACGCCATTCAATGTCTCTCGTTCTTCAGGCAAGGTGGCCAGCCTTGAGATGCAATCTCCACTGCCTGGACACCTATGTGTTGCCTAGTCATTGCCTATTGGAAGCCATGACAGCCATGGTCCTCTGCCACAGAGAATGCATTGGATGCAAGATATGTCCCTAATATAATGGTAATGATATTTTCCATATAAACAAAAACAAAAATATGCAATACTACAAAAAGAAGAGTCTTCCATACAAGATTATCACGCAGGTGTCTCACAAAAGCATCCAGAAATTTTGTGATGCTGTCCCATGGATTGTTTGGTGCCTGCGGAAATACACCTCCAGGTGATCTAGACATTTTCCCGCCATGAACTCGCTGAAATTTTGGTCCCTTATAGTCACATAGTGGGGACAAAAGATTATATTAGGGTATACTCATGAGTGATGAAATAAACAAGTACACAATCTGTTATAAATAAACAAATAAATAGGAATGCTAGAAGTGGGAGCGGTTCTGGTAAGAACGGATCTTAGGAGAGAAATGAGAACGAATATGGACCGTTGGATTAAATTATGTGGAACTGAATTGTGCATTTGGTGAAACCGAAATGTGCATTAGATGATATCCAAATGTGCAGAAAACTCACATGTGCATTAAGTGAAACTAAAATGTGCAGAACAAAACGTACAAAAATAACATTACATCGTACCTTTTATTCTGCACATTTTAGTTTCATCTAGTGCACATTTCAATTTCACCTAATGCACAATTTAGCTTCACATAATGCCACTACATTGTACCTTTTGAGCTGCACGTTTCAATTTCACCTAATACACATTACAGCTTCATCTAATGCACATAGAATTTCACATAAAGCAAATCTAACGGTCCAGATTCATTCTCATTTTTCTCATAAGATCATGTTCTTATTTGAACCAAAATGTGCTGTTTTAATTTTCGCATCAAACATAAGGACTAGTGAACTGAAGTTTTACTAGAGCCTTCCTATACAACCTTAGAATGATTGAAGCAACGCCATTCAAAGTTTTACTCATGAACATAAAGACTATATGCCTTACTCTTTTGTAAAGTTATCTCAAGAAGTAGATAGAGATTACTTAAGCTGATCAGCCATCAATAACATGAAACGTTATTAAATAATCCAAACAATAAGGGCAAAAGCTTATGAAAACACAATGCAGGAAATATGAAAGTAAATGTACATACTTTGAGAGAGAGAAATGAATAAAACATAAATGTGCTTCTTTTTACTTTGTATAATGAATACACAACAACATCTAAGCCTTGTTGTTATTGTTGTGTAATGAATAATAATAATTAAAGAAAGAATGTCAACAAGGTCCATGTGCTTGTTTGGGGGAATACCTGAATACACAATCCCAACAATCGAGAAATCTCCTTCTTCAAGTTATCCCGTATCAATCCAAATATTTTCTCAACAGACGCAGTTAATTGTTGCTTAAACAATATGGCCGGATATCTAGCTTCCATGTGTGCCATGCCATCCTATGTAATAATCCAATAAATGTCAAAGGCTAGTTTAACTGAATCGCCACAAAAAAAGTTCTATAAAAAACTCAATGGGGTCCAAGGTTCGAAATTGTGTATCGCGTGGTGTAAGCGATTGTTTCAGACTGCATAATGCCTCATTGGGCAAGAGCGTGTAATATATATGGTAATTTTCCTGTGAAAGACATTGGAATATGCTGTATAATATGCTTTAGAATATTCTTCTATCTTTAGAATATGCTTTAGAATATTTTAGGAATATACTCTAGGATATTATTATTGTATAGCATCTTATAGGAATATTCTATCTTTGTAATGTATATATATAGGGACTTAACCCTCCAATGAAACACACAGAAAATTCTTCCATTCTCATTACTATTATACTCTTAATTTTGATAACATGGTATCAGAGCTTCTATTTCTGTTTAGTTCTTTTTTCTTTTAGATTTCAGCTTAGTTTTTCAGACTGGGTTCTTCCTCAAAGAAACCTGAGTTCAGTTCAGACCCTTCTGTCTCCCAGAAACTCACTCCAAGACAGATTTTTTTTTGCCCTCTCTATTCAGAACCTTAGTCCAAATCATATACCCCATCTCTGCCTGCCAAGTCCAACCATCTTCCCGGCGAATTTCAGACAATTACTCATTCAGCCTCTATCATAATCTGGTGCGACTGCCGTAGTCGTTCACAGACTGATTTTCCAAACTGACACCCTTAAGCCACACACGCCTCTGGAGGTACTCGCAGACAGTGCACGCGCCGACAAGTGACACCTCTTCTCTGGCCGGAGAGAAGATCGGAACTCATCAACAGGCTAGCCTGAGAGTCCTCTACCACCAGGTATACGTTCCTTCTCTCTCTTTCTGTCTCAAAGGGAGGAGGTCTGGTGGTCGCTCGCTCGCTGGGGTCTTGCATCGCATATCCGTGGACATACGCACATGCTGGTCGTTGGTTGATAAGGTCGTCGTAGCTGATTATTCGTTGGGGTCTGGCATCGGAATTATCTGGAGTAGTCATAGCCCAAGCAGATTGGATCTTTTATTCTCCAAGGTTGAGCCCAAAACGGGCTGCTGTAAGTTTTTATTAAATATATCCCAATTTTGAACTTTATTACATTCTATTAAAAAAAAAACAAAAAAAAAAATGCCTGGTTCTGACACTGACACCTCCGCAGTAACACAAAGTAAGCCTTTGATAGTTTCTGAAGTTATTCCCATTAATTTTAAAATTACTGAGAATAAACTTTCTGGCTCCAATTATCTTGAATGGAGTAAAACTATCAAACGTTATTTACGGAGCATTGATAAATATACCCACTTAGTTGATGACCCGCCAAAGGAGGAGGTTGATAGAGCTGCTAATACTGCATGGCTTCGTGACGATTCTAGATTATTTATCCAGATTCAAAACTCAATGGAGAATGAGGTAATGGGGTATATTAGTCATTGCGATACTGTGAAAGAACTGTTTGATTATTTGGAATTTATGTATTCTGGAAAAGGTAATCTTACCCACATCTATAAGGTGTGCAAAGCCTTTTACAGAGCAGAAATGAAAGATAAGCCTCTCACGGCTTATTTTATGGATTTCAAGAAAACCTATGAAGAGCTGAATACATTAATGCCATTTAGTCCTGATATCAAAGTGCAACAGAAACAAAGAGAACAAATGGCAGTGATGAGTTTTTTGGCTGGTCTAACATCTGAATTTGAAACAGCCAAATCACATATCTTATCTAGCGATGAGGTCTCTTCTCTTCAAGAGTCTTTCACTAGAGTGCTTCGCACCGATACTTCATCCACGCCATTAACACCTCAGTCAAGCAATGCATTTGTAGGGCAAGTTCCGACATTCACCAGAGGAAGTGAGAAATATCCACGTACTGGCCCATCTGGCAAAGGCATAGTATGCAACTACTGTAAAAAGCCTGGACACTTGATCAAAGATTGTAGAAAATTAAAATTCAAAAATCAAGGAAATCAGGTTGCTCACATTGCTTCCGCTACACAGTCTTCTGATGGATCAATAAGTATGTCTTCTGAGGAATACGCCAAATTTCTTTGCTACCAAGAGACTCTAAAGCATTCATCTACTCCTATCTCAGCTGTCGCTAATTCAGGTAATCCAAACACATGTCTTGTATCTTCATCCTCAAAATGGGTTATCGATTCAGGGGCAACAGATCATATGACAGGTAATCCTAGTCTTTTTTCCTCATTCCACACACCTCTTCATACTTCTAGTGTTACTTTGGCTGACAGATCTACGTCACCAGTTCTTGGAACGGGTACAATTGTCCCAACACCTACCTTACCTTTGTCACCCGTCCTAAGTCTTCCAAACTTTGCCTTTAATTTGATTTCGATCAGCAAAATCACACGTAATCTTAATTGCTCTGTAACCTTTTTTCCTGGATATTGTGTATTTCAGGATCTGGTGACGAATCGGGTTATTGGTAAAGGATATGAGTCGGCTGGTCTCTATCTCTTGGATACATCCTTACCCAAATCCATCTCTTGTCTTGAAGTTGGAACTGTGTTAGAGGCTCATTATCGACTAGGCCATCCCTCTCTCCCGTTGTTAAAGAAACTTCATCCTCAATTTCATAAGGTGTCATCTTTACAGTGTGATTCATGTCAATTTGCAAAACATCATCGAACTAGTTTAAGTCCCCGAGTCAATAAACGAGCACACGCTCCTTTTGAACTTGTTCATTCTGATGTTTGGGGCGCTTGCCCTGTTGTGTCCAAAACTGGTGTTAAATATTTTGTTACCTTTGTTGATGATTATTCTCGTATGACTTGGATATATTTCATGAAATGTCGTTCTGAGTTATTTTCTCATTTTTGTGCCTTTTGTGTTGAAATTAAAACTCAATTTAATGTACATGTCCGTATTTTAAGGGGAGACAATGCTCAAGAATATTTATCTTCCTCATTTAAGTTGTACATGGCTCAACATGGCATCATTCATCAAACTTCATGTGTAGACACACCTCCCCAAAATGGAGTTGCTGAACGAAAGAACAGACATCTATTAGAAACTGCGCGGGCTCTTCTATTCCAAATGAATGTGCCTAAACAGTTTTGGGCAGATGCTGTGTCTACCGCATGTTTTTGATCAATAGAATGCCATCTACTGTTTTGGATGGTAAAACTCCATATCAGTGCCTATTTCCAAATAATGAAAATTTTCCTATCCCTCCTAAAATATTTGGTTGCACTTGTTTTGTACGAGATGTTAATCCCCATTTAACAAAGTTAGATCCCAAGTCATTAAAGTGCATTTTCTTAGGCTACTCTCGAGTTCAAAAGGGTTACAGATGTTTTTGTCCAAGTACGGGTCGATATCTTGTTTCAATTGATGTCTCTTTTCATGAAAATACACCGTTTTCATCAACAGAGACAAATATTTGTAGGGAGAATGATGATGTACTCATTTACACAGTCACTATACCCGAATCCACTGCTTCAGCCGTTGTTCCACATGTTACTTTTCCTGAGCCTAGTCCCCCGGTACACTTGGTCTACACCCGTCGAAACAAAGTACAAGATCACCCTCCACCTGTGGTTACTTATCCTGATACTGATCCGATCTCGATCTCATGTCCTGAACCAATACCTGCATCTCCAGATCCTGCCTCTACATCAGATCTTGACCTCCCTATCGCACTACGTAAAGGTACACGGTCTTGTACTCATCCTATTTCTTCATTTGTGTCGTATAATCAGTTATCATCTGCCTCATGTTCTTTTATTGCTTCCATTGATTCTATTTCTGTTCCCAAATCTGTTAAAGACGCTTTGTCCCATCCTGAATGGCGTCATGCCATGGTAGAGGAAATGAATGCTTTGGATCTTAATGGTACTTGGGATTTGATAGACTTGCCTACAGGGAAGAAATCTATTGGATGTAAGTGGGTCTTTGCTGTAAAGGTTAACCCTGACGGATCCGTTGCTCGGTTGAAAGCCCGATTAGTAACGAAGGGTTATGCTCAAACCTATGGGGTTGATTATTCTGACACTTTTTCTCCTGTTGCTAAATTAACATCTGTCAGGTTACTTATTTCTCTCGCTGCAACTAATGGCTGGCACTTACATCAGCTGGACATTAAAAATGCATTCTTGCACGGTGATCTTCAGGAGGAAGTTTATATTGAGCAACCTCCAGGGTTTGTTGCTCAGGGGGAGTATGGAAAAGTGTGTCGACTTCGCAAGTCTCTTTATGGTTTGAAACAGAGTCCCCGTGCATGGTTCGGGAAATTCAGTCAATCAATTGAACGATTTGGAATGATAAAGGGCAAATCAGATCACTCTGTATTTTACAGACGAACGAAAGCAGGTATCACATTGCTTGTGGTGTATGTCGATGATATTGTGATTACAGGGAGTGATAATGCAGGTATTTTGGCTCTTAAGAATTTTCTTCATAGTCAATTCCAGACGAAAGATTTGGGCTCATTGAAATACTTCTTGGGGATTGAGGTTATACGGAGCAAGAAAGGCATATTTCTATCTCAACGTAAATATGTGCTTGACTTGCTAACTGAAACAAGGAAACTGGGGGCAAAACCGAGCAATACTCCCATGATTCCCAATGTGCAGCTCACTCATGAAGGCGTACCATTTGAAGATCCAGAAAGATATAGAAGGTTGGTTGGAAAGCTTAACTATCTCGCAGTTACCCGTCCAGATATTGCGTACTCAGTGAGTGTAGTAAGTCAATATATGTCATCCCCGACAGTTGATCATTGGAATGCTGTAGAGCATATATTATGTTACTTGAAGGGGACACCAGGACGAGGTATTGTTTATCAAAATCATAATCACATGAGAATAGAATGCTTTGCAGATGCTGATTGGGCTGGATCTAAAGATGATAGAAGATCCACATCTGGCTATTGCGTCTTTGTTGGTGGTTGTGAAAGTATATTAAAATATACTTTAGAATATACTTTAGAATATATTAGGAATATACCATATATAGTATTATTGTATAGCATCTTGTATAGGAATATTCTATCTTTGTAATCTATATTTATAGGGCCTTACCCTTCAATGAAATATACAGAAAATCCTTTCCTCTCCAATATTATTTCTTAGTTTATGTGTTATATTTCAACATGGTATCAGAGCCATCTCAATTTAGTTTTTCTTTTCAGATTTCAGTTCAGTTATTCATATCTCAGTAGTTTTCAGACTGGGTTCCTTTCTCCAAGAGCTGATTTCAGTCCAGAACCTATTCCCAGAACCTCTTCCCAGAACCTCTTCCCAGAACTTTTCCCCAGAAATTTTCTCCAGAACCTCTAGGCACCATTCTGTCTTCTAGAAAATCACTCAGTACAGATCCTCTACAAACCAGAACCTCTATTCAGAACCTTTGAGAACCTTGGTATAGCTCAAATATCTCACCTCTATTCTGGTGCGCCCGCCATCTACGCCCAGGTGTTCAAAGTCCGCAGTTCCAAATCAACGGCCGTGAGTCATACTCGCCTCCGGAGGTGCTCACCGCTGCCGCACGCGCCGCCGCACGCGCCGACGCGTAGCTGTAGTTGCTGGCCGGAGATTTGATCGGAATTTTTCCTGAGACTCGCCTGAGATCCTCTACCACCAGTACCACCAGGTAGACCTTACTTCTCTCTCATTCCTTCTTCAGAAAGGGGCGGAATATTTGTGGGACGAAGTTTTGCGTTGGTGTTGGTCGCTGGCATCGACTGAATTGTTCGCTGGGTGGCATCGACTGAAGTTTCGTTGTCGCTGGATCTGGGGCGGATTATTCACATCATCAGCACATCTGTTAAGGGTCGCTGGCATCGACTGAATTGTTCCTGCCTCGATAGCTTTGTTGCGTAAAAGTCAACGCAAACTCAGATTTGATTTTATTTTTTAAAAAAAAAAGAAAAAAGAAAAAAAGAAAAAAAAAATACAAAAAAAAAAAAAAAAAATGTTTCGTACAGGTCAATTTGACAGAGGAGTAATTTGCAATTACTGCAAGAAGTCCGGACACTTGCTCAAAGATTGTAGAAAGTTGGCATTCAAAAATCAAGGAAATTTGATTGCTCATGTTGCTTCCGCTACCACCTCATCTGATGGATCAGTTGCTATTTCTTCGGATGAATATGCCAAATTTATTTGCTACCAAGAATCTCTAAAGCATTCATCCGTCCCTATCTCGGTAGCCGCGAATTCAGGTATTTCAAACACATGTCTTGTTTTGTCATCCTCGAAATGGGTCATTGACTCAGGTGCCACAGATCATATGACCGGTAATCCTAGTCTATTTTCGTCATTCCATTCATATTTACCTACTTCTAGTGTCACTTTAGCTGATGGATCTACCTCACCCGTTCTTGGATCTGGTACTGTTGTTCCAACTTCTACATTACCATTATCGCCTGTTTTGAGTCTTCCTAATTTTGCATTTAATCTGCTTTCCATCAGTAAAATCACGCGTACTCTTAATTGTTCTGTAACATTTTTTCCTGGATATTGTGTGTTTCAGGATCTGTTAACGAAGCAGACTATTGGTAAAGGACATGAGTCAGCTGGTCTTTATATTTTGGATACATCAATCACAAAAGGTATCTCTTGTCTTGGGGTTGGGACTTTGTTAGATGCTCATTACCGATTAGGACATCCATCTCTCCCATTAATGAAGCAAATAAATCCCCAATTTAATAAGATGACCTCTTTACAATGTGAGTCATGTCAATTTGCGAAACACCATCGTACTAGCTTGAGCCCTCGAGTTAATAAACGAGCAAATGCTCCATTTGACCTTGTTCACTCTGATGTTTGGGGTGCTTGCCCGGTTGTGTCTAAAGCTGGTTTTAAATATTTTGTTACCTTTGTTGATGACTATTCTCGTATGACATGGTTGTATTTCATGAAACGTCGATCTGAGTTGTTCACTCATTTTTCTTCCTTTTATGCTGAAATTAAAACTCAGTTTAACGTTCCTGTTCGGGTGTTAAGAGGAGACAATGCCCAAGAATATCTATCTGCTACATTTAAGTCATTTATGCTTCAACATGGCATTATTCATCAAACTTCATGCGTTGACACACCTCCTCAAAATGGAGTTGCAGAACGAAAGAACCGACATCTGTTAGAAACTGCAAGGGCTCTTCTATTCCAAATGAATGTGCCTAAACAGTTTTGGGCAGATGCCGTGTCTACTGCATGTTTTTTGATAAATCGAATGCCATCTTCTGTTTTGAATGGTAAAGCTCCTTATCATTGTCTATTTCCAAACAAAGAGCTTTTTCCTATCCCACCTAAAATATTTGGTTGCACTTGTTTTGTTAGAGATGTTAATCCTCATCTTACAAAGTTAGATCCCAAATCATTAAAATGTATTTTCTTGGGATATTCTCGAGTCCAAAAGGGGTATAGATGTTTTTGTCCGAGTACTGGTCGGTATCTTGTTTCTATTGATGCATCATTTCATGAAAATACACCTTTTTCATCATCTAAGGCAGATATTCATGAGAGCAATGATGATATACTCATTTACACGATGACTATTCCCGAGTCCACACTTTCGACAAATATTCCACAAGTTACTGTTCCTGACCCTAGGCCTCCCGTACATTTGGTATACACCCGTCGACACAAAGCACCTGATCACCCTCCACCGGCGATACCTGTGATTACTTATCCTGATACTAGTTCGACTCCGATCTCATGTCCTGAACCAGTACCTGCATCCTCAGATCTTGTCTCCACATCAGATCTTGACCTCCCAATCGCACTACGTAAAGGTACACGGTCTTGTACTCATCCTATTTCTTCATTTGTGTCGTACAATCAGTTATCTCCTGCTTCATGTTCTTTTATTGCTTCCATTGATTCTATTTCTGTTCCCAAATCTGTAAAAGAAGCTTTGTCTCATCCTGAATGGCGTCATGCCATGGTAGAGGAAATGAATGCTTTAGATCTTAATGGTACTTGGGATTTGGTTGACTTGCCTACAGGGAAGAAATCTATTGGATGTAAGTGGGTCTTTGCTATTAAGGTTAACCCAGACGGATCTGTTGCTCGGTTGAAAGCCCGATTAGTTGCGAAGGGTTATGCTCAAACCTATGGTGTTGATTATTCTGACACTTTTTCTCCTGTTGCTAAATTAACATCTGTCAGGTTACTTATTTCACTCGCTGCAACTCATGATTGGCACTTACATCAGTTGGACATTAAAAATGCATTTTTGCATGGTGACCTTAAGGAAGAAGTCTATATTGAGCAACCTCCGGGATTTGTTGCTCAGGGGGAGTATGGTAAAGTTTGTCGACTTCGCAAATCTCTTTATGGTCTGAAACAGAGTCCTCGTGCATGGTTTGGGAAATTCAGTCAATCAATTGAACAATTTGGAATGATAAAAGGCAAATCAGATCACTCTGTCTTTTACAAACAAACAGAATCAGGTGTCACGTTGCTTGTGGTGTATGTTGATGATATTGTGATTACAGGGAGTGATAATGCAGGTATTTTGGCCCTTAAGAATTTTCTGCATAGTCAATTCCAGACGAAGGATCTTGGCTCTTTGAAATACTTTCTGGGAATTGAGGTAACACGAAGTAAGAAAGGCATATTTCTATCTCAACGTAAATATGTACTTGACTTACTAGCTGAGACAGGTAAATTAGGGGCAAAACCAAGTACAACACCGATGGTTCCCAACGTGCAACTCACTCAAGAAGGCACACCGTTTGAAGACCCAGAAAGATATAGAAGACTGGTTGGAAAGCTTAATTATCTCGCAGTCACTCGTCCAGATATTGCCTATTCTGTGAGTGTAGTGAGTCAATACATGTCATCTCCAACCATTGATCATTGGGCTGCAGTAGAACACATATTATGTTACTTAAAGGGTGCACCAGGACGAGGTATTGTTTATCAAAACCATGATCACATGAGAATAGAATGTTTTGCAGATGCTGATTGGGCCGGTTCTAAAGATGATCGAAGATCTACATCTGGTTATTGTATCTTTGTTGGTGGTAATCTTGTATCTTGGAAGAGTAAGAAGCATAATGTGGTTTCTCGTTCGAGTGCCGAATCAGAATATCGAGCTATGGCACAATCTGCATGTGAGATCATATGGATAAGCCATTTATTGACCGAGCTCGGACTGAAGACATCAATGCCTGCTAAATTGTGGTGTGATAACCAAGCTGCTATACACATAGCAAACAATCCTGTATTTCATGAGAGAACAAAACATATTGAGGTCGATTGTCATTTTATTCGAGAGAAGATACAAAAAGGATTGATCTCTACAGGATATGTGAAGACTGGGGAACAACTTGGAGATCTGTTCACTAAAGCACTAAATGGAATTCGAGTTGGTTATTTATGTAACAAGTTGGGCATGATAAATATCTATGCTCCAACTTGAGGGGGAGTGTGAAAGTATATTAAAATATACTTTAGAATATGCTTTAGAATATATTAGGAATATACCATATATAGTATTATTGTATAGCATCTTGTATAGGAATATTCTATCTTTGTAATCTATATTTATAGGGCCTTACCCTTCAATGAAATATACAGAAAATCCTTTCCTCTCCAATATTATTTCTTAGTTTATGTGTTATATTTCAACAGTGGTAATCTCGTCTCTTGGAAAAGTAAGAAGCAGAATGTGGTTTCTTGTTCGAGTGCTGAATCAGAATATCGGGCTATGGCATAATCGGCATGTGAGATAATCTGGATAAATCATCTATTAAGTGAAATCGGACTGCAGACACCAATGCCTGCTAAGCTCTGGTGTGATAACCAGGCTGCTATACACATTGCTAACAACCCAGTGTTTCATGAGAGAACAAAACATATTGAGGTCGATTGTCACTTTGTTCGAGAAAAGATACAACAAGGATTGATCTCTACAGGATATGTGAAGACGGGAGAGCAACTTGGAGACTTGTTCACTAAAGCACTAAATGGAATTCGTGTTAGTTATTTATGTAACAAGTTGGGCATGATAAATATATATGCTCCAACTTGAGGGGGAGTGTGAAAGACATTGGAATATGCTGTATAATATGCTTTAGAATATTCTTCTATCTTTAGAATATGCTTTAGAATATTTTAGGAATATACTCTAGGATATTATTATTGTATAGCATCTTATAGGAATATTCTATCTTTGTAATGTATATATATAGGGACTTAACCCTCCAATGAAACACACAGAAAATTCTTCCATTCTCATTACTATTATACTCTTAATTCTGATAACATTTCCGATCAGGACTTCCTAACCGGAACCGCCGTCCAAACGCCTCCATTTGAGGTAGTTCCGGGTGGAATTTTATGATGAAATTTTGAGAGCATATTCTTCATAAAGGGTATATTAGGCCCACAAAATTTCATCTTCAAACTCGAACATAAAGTCAGTTAAATAAATTATTGAAAAAATATATATATATATATACACACAAATATTCCTGTCCGGAATTTCCGGACAGGAGGGCCGTCCGGCCTCCTCCATTTGGGGGCCTTCCCGGTGGTATTTTTTGCTCAAATGTTTTGTGTAGGTTACTCATCAAGTCTAGTTCATCCATACCAAATTTCAGCAAAAAATTCAATCGGGAAGGTCGTCAAATGATTTTTGCAAGTTAACTGGTCCGGAATATGTATTTTCCGGACTAGTTAACTTGCAAAAATCATTTGAAGACCTTCCCGATTGAATTTTTTGCTGAAATTTGGTATGGATGAACTAGACTTGATGAGGAACATACACAAAAAAATTGAGCAAAAAATACTACCGGGAAGGCCCCCAAAAAGAGGAGGCCGGACGGCGCTCCGGTCAGGAAATTCCTGACCGAAAGATTACTCTATGTGTATATATATATATATATATATATATATATATATATATAACACGATGTCTTTCAATAATTTATTTAACTGACTTCCAGATCGAACTTTGAGCAGAAATTTTGTGGATATAATCTACACTTCATGAAGAACATCCTAAAAAACTCATCAAAAAACTCCACCGGGAAAAACCTCAAATCGCAGCAACCGGACAGCGGTTCTTGTCTGGAATTCTGGAGGTGAACTTTTCTCACTATATATATATATATATATATATATATATATATATAATGGCGGACGAGGAATTCCCGACGGGAGGGACGGTAGTGTAAAATTATACGACCTTTGTTTTTTTTAGTTGCAACATTGGTGAATGTTGCACTATTCACATACTCTACTTTGACTAAATTTTATTTATTAATGTATAATAAACTAAATTTTTGAAAAATATTGTTAATTTTCTCTCATTTTAAATTTTAAAAGTTGAATTTTTAATTTGTTTTACTCATAGGAGTAAAAGGGAATGAAAAATATTAATGGTCAATCTTGTGTGTTGGCAAACATGAAAAGTGGACCGTTGCAATTAAAAGAAAATGGAGGAAGTAAATACTAAATACATATCTGTATTAAAATTTGGAATAATTATACCTAGTAATTATACAAGTGGGGGTAGCGGCCCCCACTTGCCTCCTTTGTGTCTGCTACTTTATATATATATATATATACCCCCACACACACATACATACATATATATGTGTTATATATAAATAAATAAATAAATATATATATATTACCAAATAGTTCTGAACCTTTCAACAAAAACAACAATTTTAAAATTCCCGACATTTTAAAATTTAAAGTTTATTAATTGATGAACGAAAAAATTGCATCATCACTATCTAGTGGCTTGGAACTGAGATCAGGTGCAAGAAAAGTGTTTCATAGGATCGAGTGCAGATTAAATAAGTTGCAGAGGAGAAGATGATTTAAATAGTTGAGTAGAAGCTTTACAGTTTATACGATTCGCAGATGGAGAAGGGAGGCAAGCAGAGGAGAAGATGGAGAAGATGACTTAAATAGTTGAGTAGAAGCTATACAGTTTATACGATGCTCCAAAGTTTTGTATGCATGTGCCTCATCGCATAAGCCATATCGCGTACGCATCATGTCCATATTGTGTACGCTTACCAATTGCGTGGAATAAGCAATGCCTTTATCGCCTCAAGCTAAATATAGCAGAGGTGCGCCGACAATTACATTGCACAATTACAAAAAATGGTGGGCTCTGGGAGTGTTTCGTCCAAACAAGAGAGTTATAGCAAAGGCTGCCTAGATGTTTGGTGGTCAGCTAAAATAAAAATCACAATTGAAACTCTAAATCAACTAAAGCCACCAATGAGACTTCTAATCTTGCATCAAATAATAAACTTGTGCCTAAATGCAATATTTTTTACAATTTTAGTTAAGCAGTTGAGTGACACCAAGGCATGAAAGTTAAATAACCAAAGATTCACGATAATATGTATGCAAAAGTAACCTCAAAAATCATCAATTGATTCAGTCCATGAATGGTTATAATTAGTCATATTATAACAAAAATGGTGATGCAGAAATGCAAAAATTTTGACGACATAGAATATATACAGCTTACATGAGCAAACCTCCCATTTAAGGCAGAACCACCCCCAGAGCGCTGAGATGAAGCACTGAAGAAGCCATTGGCACGTAAATTCCTTTGAAGAAGACATAGAAGTGCTGATGTGTTGGATAACCAGTAAGGCAAGTTAGAGTTATTGTCATCATCAATCTGAAAGGACAGGAACCTTATTTTAAAAAATATAGTGGGTGCAACCCCAATAACAAGAACATAAGGAGAAATGGCTAAACAGTAAAGATCAGTACAAGTGAATAACCTGTAAAACACCATTGATAGTCTCGACAATGAATTCAAAAATAGGAGTCTTTTCTGACTCAAAGGCGTGCCAACGAAGAAGACATGTAAATATAAGACAGGCAGCCACTGGTTTCCCATCTTGGAAGCCTAATTTTTCTTTGATGCACAGTGAAAGGATTTCATACTTCTCCTGTATGTGAATTTTTTATAGAAGAGAAGAAAGATATTATAGCATCTTTGGTCAACTAATAATGACACATCAAGAATAAAGTACAGAATACGCAAGAACAGAAAGTACAAATGAGCTGCCTTACATTGGTGACCTTTCCACGGCGAGAATCAGAAAATCCTTCTGAAAAGAGAGTGATAGGTTTTACTGGCGGAGGTGTTTCCTGAAATGCATTACTTGATCAGTAAGGAATGGAAGATTGAGATCAGTTTTATGCAAAAAAGAATGGGCCAGGCAATCTCACGTATATAGATTTTCGATCAGCAGAATGAAGAGTAACTGCCCCAGAGAGTTTCTGCTCATAGAGAAGTATAATTATAAATATTACAAATTTACTAGCATAGCAGCGAAGCAAATCACTTCATCATCATTGCATGCATGCCATTACAGAAATATGTCCACCAATATGTGGGTATATAAATGAATAAGCAATTGCTTACATCAAGAAAAGGCTTAGAAAAGCCAGCACGATTACTCCTAGATGACAACGCTTTTTGATGGAGCACGAGATTTTCATCCTCTAAACTTGAAAGATTGCCTTCCAAACTAATTTGAAAAGACATGTGAAAGTATTAAAAATATTTGTCAATTCTCCTCAAGCAGCCACTATAATAGCAATTAGCAAGGAAAAACTCAAAAAATTAGAGGACACACGAGAGATGACTAATTTGTTGACACTTATGTACAGTTTTGTCAATAATGAGTGACATATGAGAATGTAAAACAAATACAGAATTGCTGCCCTTCTGACTATTCAAATGCACCTTTTTAGGTTCCTCTGTAGCAGTGAACAAGCTTTTTCAGCATCCTTCAACTTTGTAAGGGTTCCACTAGCCTCCTCTTTAGCACTGACAAGTTCTCTTTCAAGTGTAGTGTTCCTTTCCTCTAAGGCAGCCAAAGATTTCTGTAAAGATATTAAATTATGTTAGAATATAAATATATATAGTAGTCAATATATTCTGTGTGTATATATATGGTAGTTAATATATTTTATATGTAAACTAAATATTATGTGTATATCTGGCAGGTTTTGTTTCCTTTTGTATTTTCTGACTTGTGTATTTATACCGGCTACACCCAATGAATAATATACTGTGATTTCATTGCATCTTTAATCACTATTACTCAGTTTACATGGTATCACAGCCACACAGGTTCTTCGGGTAGTATTTCCTGAAGTTCGATTCTGCTCTCTCCCTCTGATTCGATTCAGCCTTCATTTGTGCAGAACAGGGCGTTGTTCGCACGGTGCAGGCGTGGTGATCTGGAATCTGGATTGTGCAGCACAGGCACAGGTTTGATTTTTTGGACACTATTAGCCCCGGTTCTCTTACCCTGTTCTTGTTATTACTCTTGCCCTAGTTGTTTGCAAGCATGGGTGATGATAAGAAGAGTGTGACTAGAATTACGGTCAGTAATGCCAGAATTACCGAGATAAAATTGACTGGTGTTAAAGATTACAGGAAGTGTAAACGCCCTACTACTAGATATGTTAATAGTCTTGGTCTGGGAGATCATCGAAGTGAATTAACTCCTCCAAGAAGTAATCTTGATGAAGGAAAGAAATGGATGATGGCTGATGATAGGTTGTTCAATTAGATTCAGAATACCC